ATGATTCAGTTCTTGTCTTCTCCTGGGGGCATTAGGAGATAGCCCAGCATTAAATTTTGAAGAGCCTCTATGCCAGTGACATACTGGGCAAGATGGGTCAGTGGCATGATTGATAAAAGACAACAACTTCTATCCAAAAGCTGATTTCAATGAGAGCTAATAAGATGCCTTGCTGAATATGTTCTGGACCTGGGATTGAAGCCTCAAAGTAGAACGCTGAACGTATGTAACCCCTGTAGTCAATGGGAATGTGAAGCTCGATGAGTTTTTCCCTTGCTTGTTGATCAAAGCTCTGATGTTGGGAGATAGAAACCTCCCACCTATTCTCCTCCAGCCTTGTACTTTCAGGCTCAGCAGCAGAATGTAATGGATCTGGAGTGTTGGTTAATCATTTCAAAACATGTTCAGGGTGAGCAATTACTACAGGCTCTTTTCCAGCTTATCACTGGAAAGTGTTGAAGGAAATACATCCAGGGTGGTGGATGCTCCCTGCAGCCCATTTGTTTTTGAAGTTGCAACCTAAAAGCCCTCTATTAAGAGTCCATAATAACATACTCGAGAAGGTGGAGGAATTTTTGCAAAACATCTGTGATATTCTCACTAGCTGGCAACAGTCTTTGTGCAAGGACTGGGGGAGGAAATTTCATTTAATCATTCTTAACAAGCATAGCTGTTTCTAGATCACGTAAATAAAGAAGGAAGGTCCTTGCCCTCAGGAGCATACAACACAAGCTTAGTCTCAACAGTGGTGATAGGAGGACAGGAAAGGGAGGGGAGTGAAGGGATAGGCAAGTAGAAGAAACTTACACATGCTTACTGGCATTCTTTGGGTTCAAGGAGGGTGCACCAAATGTATGATTGCAGGGCAAATGTCCAGGGCTGTTCTCAGCAGAATGAGGAGGAAGGCCTCCAAAGGCAGCTGGCTGGATTAGCACAATTTTGAAGTAAGCAAGTGAAACAAGGCATATTATCACCTAAAAAGGGAGATTCCAGGTTGACATGCTAAGTTGAAGGGGACTCTCTGAAAGACCATCAGATACAGAGACTAATATTGCTTAATTGCACACCTCTTTCTGTGAATAGGTCTAAGGACTTAATGGAAAAGTGGATTTAGTTTCTAGAAGGTAGAGGGAGTAATGCCAACGGGGAGCAACAGAAGATAGCAAATTCATGCAGGAACATTCTGGATGTGTGGTTGTGATAAAACAGTAACTGCAAGGGCTCTCCCAATGATACGGGTATAGCCTGATATTGGCTTTCTGTACTCAGAAGCATGAGTCTCCTTCTTTGTCTTTGAAAGGTATTTCATGTGTGTACTTGTAGAGATTTTTTAAAAATACACTAAGAAAATAATTAGTTGTCCCACTTGGAGGTTTTTTCTATTAGATTTTTTTAAACTTAGAAAGCTGGATTTTGCAATGTATTAATGCCAATTGACATAGTAGTATTCATTAAGAATGAATTGCTTATTCTGCAATTTTTATTTATTTTTTAATCTGGTTTTGGAGTTAGGACACCAACACTTTCTTTCTAGTCAAAGGAAATCTTTAACACTTCTGACCTTTAAGATGTTTACATACTTTCAAGCATATGTGTTTAATATTACTTTCAATTCTTTTTCTGGACTCTTCTCTCTGTTGTAGTGTTCACATAGCCCTAAGCATGAATTTCCTTTTATCCACCACATAGATACATTGATAAATCTATTTATAGATAAAGCAATTCAATTAACAATATCACTGAAGCAAACTGCTAACATTGTTATGAAAGCCAACATGGAACAGTTGGTAGAAAATGAAATTTGATATGGGACATGCAAATTTAAATCCTATTTAGCATGAAGATCCATGAGTCAAAACTGAAATGAATATTTGCAAATATTTATGGAAATGAAAAAACAACAACAAGAAAGCATGTAGATAGAATGTATGGCTTTATCACAAAATAAACAGTTAAAGATCTTTAGATCTGTAGATGTCCAGCTTGGTTTGCCTGACATCAATCAAGAAACAGGTTTTCAAATGTCAATACCATTGCATATTCTCTGTAAAATCCTGTTAAACATTAGTTGCCGTTACATGTCACTGTTACAGGAGGTTTCATGCCAACTAATAAGTACATTCAGGTGCTAATCACCACTATTACTTATTAAATAATCCAACACTTTTAACTATCATGGAATCTCAAATATTGACTGTGATCCATTAATTTCAATATATTAAATACATTTGATCAACATTTAACCACATTGTATATTCCGAGAATATCCAGCATTAGATTTTACAAAGAATTCTCGAAATCAAATCATTTTTGTTCTAAACAGTGTAACCTTGGATAACGCTGGACTCATTTATCCTACTTCACGGTTTCATAAGTTCACACCCCATTTAAGCTCTTTGGCTTTGTTTGCATGATCTAGAAACAGCCATGATCGTTGAGGATGATTATTTCAAAAGGTGCCATGCCTTCCTTGTACTCTCCCTCTCTTGACCCTAATAGAGAAACTTGGCATTTAACATCACCAAAGGATGGAGAGAGCATGAAAAATGATAAAAGTACACATATGCCTACCATATACACTGCTATACCAGGCAGTAAACTGGTATAGTCCTCTGCAATTGGCTGTAATAAAGAAGTTAGAGCTTTTTTCCAACTGAGAGTCGGGCAGCATGTATATTATTATTATTATTATTATTATTATTATTATTATTATTATTATTATTTTCTTCCTGTCTATTTATTGCTCTCAGAAGATAAACATTTGCATGGGAGTAAAAGGAACTTCAGTGCCCTCCACCCAACTCTTGATTCTTTATTGGTTCAGGTATCCAGAGCCATGTTTGCCAGGTAGATAGAAGTCTGAAACATTGGCAAAAATAAAAGCAGCTGGAGTCAAGAATGTTTTGTGGGAAAGGGGAAGGAACTGGTAGGGAAAAGGTTAAATCTTCTCTCCTCATCTTCACTTTTCTAATGCAAATCACAGAGTAAATGTAATGTGTGCACACACAGAAACCACTGGACATTTTTTCTGGAAAGGAGACAAAGGCCCTAGGGATTCATGACAGGAGACTTGAGTGTAGTAAGTTGTTTTAGCTGAGGGAAAAGAAAGTTGAATTTTAAAATAATTGTGAAATTGTCGGGAGTCTGAGGCAAAGAACCAAGTCAGATTAGCATAAAAAAAACATACTAAAATGTGAAACAGTTTTGTTTTTCCCATTCACAAAGGTTGTTGGAAGTGATTCAAAAGTAAGCAACAATTTCTGTTATTATGAAATCAAATAGGTTGTCTCACACAAGCTTAAAAAAGCCTTTCAAACATTCAGACATATCTCTTTGTTATCAACACAATCGTCATTGAAGAAAAACATCCTCTAAACTATATAGTTAAATCTAATCCATGTAATTAGGAATCAGTAAAGAACTGCAGAGCCAGTGTGGTGTAGTGGTTAAGGCAACAGGCTAGAAACCAGGAGACCATGAGTTCTAGTCCTGCCTGAGGCACCAAGCCAGCTGGCTGACCTTGGGCCAGTCCCTCTCCCTCAGCCCTAAGAAGAAGAAGAAGACAAGGGCAAACCCCTTCTGAAATCTTGCCAAGAAAACTGCAGGGACTTGTCCAGGCAGTCGCCAGGAATCAAGACTAACTCAAAGGCATCAAAGAAAAGAAAAGGAGTTCTTTGGTTCTGGGCAACCCCCAAAATGACTCCCACTTATCCAGGAGAGTTACTTCCTTTATGGCAGTGTTATCCAAACTTGGCCACTTTAAAGTGG